TTGTGAGTGTGTGCGCCGCGCGCAGGGGATTAGGAGGAGGAATCCTATTACGTGAACATGTGTTGTTTCTCGCCGCGAGGCAGGCGGTGCGTTTAGGCGAGCACAGATGAAGCTGCTGCTGTTCTCTGCACTGCGGGGGGGGGTGAGCCCGACCCACGTCTTCAAGCACCGATTGCTACATTTAACACCCCTTCAACGTCGACAGGAGGCAACAGCCGATCCACCAGCGCAGCTGCCTAGAGGAAGGGAAGAGAGGAGGGCTAGGCGGGGAAGAGAAGAGATAGAGAAAGATTAGAGAGATAGAGAAGAAAGAGATAAGAGAGAGAGAGAGAGAGAGAAAGAATGGCTCCCTCTACCACTGGGAGTTCATGAGACGCATCCACGAAAGGGGGGATGCAGTGGCTCCCTCTACCACTGGGAGTTCATGAGACGCATCCACGAAAGGGGGTATGCAGTGGCTCCCTCTATCTCCGGGTTAGCTCGGTACACGTGCCTGCGCGATCCATCCAGCAGAGCATTGTCACTGCACAGCATCTTCTGCTCATCCTCATCCCTCCCTCACAGATGCATCAGATAGCGTGTTAACGAGAGCCGTGCGTAACGACCCCCGCCACGACCACCGCACGCTCGCACGCACAAACGCACGCTCGCTCGTCCAAGCTGCGCTATCACCGCGGCGGCTCGATCGATGCTCGTGGTGGCGATTGACCGCCGGCCGGCGGGGACTATTGACCGGTGACGCCGCCTCATGCCATTAGTGCAGAGTGCGAGAATTAGGATGAGCGCGCGCAGTGATTGTCTCGTGACGCGATCGTGACACAGATCTCGGATGGCGTCGATGCTGCTTAGACCATCGCGTGTTAATTTCACGTTCGGTTGGAGTGACCAGCTATGGCCTGCAGCCGTTCCTTCATCCTTCCTCTTATCTTTCTTCTCCTTATCCTCTCCTTCTCGTCCCCTCTCTCCTCGTACCCGTCTCCCCATACGCCCTCTTTTCATATCCCCGCTCCTCATCCTCCATTTCTTCATCCTTCCTCTCTCCATCCTTCCTCTCCTCATCTCTCCTCTCCTCACCACTCTTCACATCCTTTCTTTATCCTCCCTCTTCAAATTCCATTTCCTTATCCTCTTCCCCTCATTTCCCTCTCCTCTTATTCCCTCTCCGCATCCCTTCTCCGCATCCCCACTCTTCTCATTCCCCTCTTCCCATATCCCCCCTGCTCATCCTCCCTTTCTCATCCTCCCGTCACCATTCTCTCTCTCCTCACCCTCCCCTCTCCTCATCCTCACTCTCAGCCTCCCCTTCCGCATCCTCCCTCTTCTCAGGCGGACTCGGGACCACTGCATCAATGTTGATTCTACCTAGTGTCCTGTGTGTGTACCGAAAGCCTTTGGTTTCTGTATTTGTCGCACGGACCACTCTGTGTACGAGGCTGGGATTTGCACCACACATGACCGATCGAGATTCTAAAAGCAAGTGAACGACATTGCCAGAGGAGGATTGCGAAGAGGCGGGGGGGGGGGCAGGGGCGAAAGCGACATCCATGTTAAGTGGGCATGATGGCCAGTGTGTCACTAGAAGATTTGTGTTACACACCCTTAGAACCATTACGATACGCTTACAGGGCGAGGGTGGGCGTGGCACCCGCCGGTGTGGGTGGGAGGCAGTAAGGAGTAAGGGTCGCGGTGAGGGTGGGCGTGGCACCCGCCGGTGTGGGTGGGAGGCAGTAAGGAGTAAGGGTCGCGGTGAGGGTGGGCGTGGCACCCGCCG